TGCTTTAAACAAACTGTGACGTCATAATCGTTAAAATTTTGAAAAATAATTGAATATTAGAAGCGTTACGACAGAATTTTAAAAAATAATGAAAATTTTAAAGGTTCTTAAAATTTTTTAAAAAAATTTAATTTAAATTTTTAACATTTTAATCTTCTTAAAAATATAATAATAGTTAAATGTTTATTTAAAAAAGAATTATTAATATATTATATTCCTTTAAAAATAATTGACTTTTGATAAAATTGCATTTGTATTTTTTAAAAATAATTAAATTTCAAAATTTGCATTAAAATTAATTTAAATTTCATTTATTAAAATAAATAACAATAAGTTTTTAAATACTTTTTTAACAAAAATTATTGAAGTTTTGAATAATTTATCCCAAAAAAAATTTGGTTTTTAAAAATTGTAATTATAATTTTTTTTTTTTTTAAATTAAATTTTCAAAAATAATTTTCATAATTGATACAATCAAAACTTTTTTGCCATATTTAAATAAATAATTAATTAATTAATTATTTAATTTAAATAAATTTTATATTTGAAAGAATTTAGGTAACTTTATTACTTTTAAAAACTAGTTTAAAAAATAATCGTATTTTTGAAGAATAATATTTCGAAAATATTGTACTTTTTAAAAAATTAAAATATTTTCATAAATTTTCAAAAAGAAATTTTTTTCAGCTAACAATTGGCTCTAAAAATTTATGCACATATATAGTTTATGCTAGTTCATAATAAGCATCATTCTTATTAGTAATAATTACTAATAAAAATAATAATTAGTAGTAACCAGTAATAATTAATCTCAACAATAATTATGAATCATGAAAATTAATAGTGGTAAAATAACTATTATTAGTAATAATTATTTTTCGTAAAAATTAACAGTAGTAATCAGAACTAATATTGGTAATAATTATTAATACTAATTAATATTAGTAATTGAGTAGAGTTAAACTAATTAATATTAATACCTTTCAATGACCAATAATAGTATTTAATTGGTAACAATAAAAATAATTAATAACAGCAGCAGAAACTAATTAATAATAATAATAATAATAATAATAATAATAATAAAAATAATAACGTTAAAAATTTATATTTGATAACTATTAATTTATAAAAAAAATATTAAATATTTTTCGCATATTAAGGAAATTAGACCAGAAGTCAAAGACATTTTTAAGGAAATAATGAATGTCGAAATTTTTTATGTTCTATCGTACTTTCACTTTATTACTGTTACGATTTTTTTTTATAGACTCGTTCTTTTGAAGCACATTTTTGCATAAAAAGATAGATAAACAATACAAGAATGAACGATTATTTTAGAATTTACAAAAACGTATCTATAAAATGTTTTGAAAACGATAAATGATGGTGACAAATGATGGTCATTTGATGTTTGAAGACATTATTGTTTCAATAAGAGCGAGAGAAAGACCACTTTGAGAAATCTTCACTTTCCCCGAAATTTAATTTTACATCACTTTCTCTAAATATCGCCAAAAAAAAAAGATTTCAGATTGTATCCTCGTTTTTTTTTGTAATAAAATTGGTTACTGATTAAAATATAAAGAAGAAAAAAATATGAAACGCAAAAAAAATGACGATAGTTAATATCGTCAATCATAGATGTAATTATGTAACGTTTGTACGAAAATAAAAGTAATGGTGATAATTAAATTAACACATATTCAAAAATGACTTATCGAGCGCAATATTAAAAAGTAGACTTGGAAAATTCGAAAATAAAGAAAAAAAAAAGAACTACTCATCTTGCGCTTGCTCCGTTTCATTTCATTCCCATTTCTCCTTCGTCCTAATGGAATCGTGAGCACGTTTTCCAATTTTCACGTCTCTACGAAATGGAATCTACGTTTCGGTGGAAAACTAAGTCGGTACTAGTACAATGCAAAATGTTCACTACACCATAGTTACTATACACACATACCCCATGCGTCGTTCAGAGATATCTTGCTTTTTCCTCTTAAAAAAAAAAGGAAAAACAGAAAAAAAAGACTTCAACTGAATTCAGAACATGACTTGCTTGTCTAATCCGGTATCCATCTTTTTTTTTTTCACTGAATAAGAGCAGAAAAATTCTCTCCTTTCTTTAAGAATATTCTTCAGGAGAAAACTAAAATGATTTATCATATTCAATAGTGAATATTTATGTAGATTTTGTGAAAATCCCGAGGGAAAATTTTTCTTTGGGACCAATCGGGGTAAAGTGGGAACAAACTGGGCCCAAAACTTTTGTGCATGCTTTTGTTTTCTTAATATGTTTTGTTAGAGAATATTATACCTATTTCTTTATTTTTTTTTACTATTTTTTAATTTAATAATATTATCTTTATTATTCAAATAATTCAAAGGTATTTTTATAAATCTAAAAAAGTTATTAATGTTATTATTCATTATTTCTTTGTAGCTAAAAAAATTGACATTTTGTAACAAACCTTTTAGGTAATTAACAAATGTAAATCCTGCAAAATATTATCCTTTTTTTTAATATGAAAAACTTAATTGTTTGACAAATTGAAAATTAAGAAAAAACCATCAATGTGAAAATGAAAATTTGTCAAATTAAAAATAAAAAGTAAAAAAAAAATCAAACTGAGCCTTAATTAAACCCTGTTTGTAAACAGGCTGAACTAGGTCATCCTTGTGGTAGAATTTTAATACTTCACAATTAAAAATTCAAAAATTAAAATTTTTCATCTTGAATTTTAAATTTTGAATTTTAAATTTTGAATTTTAAATTTAAATTAGAAACGCAGATAAAAAATGTTCTAAACTAAATTATCACAAACAGTAGATGCGAATTTTTCACCTATCATAAAATTCGTCATAAATTTATAATTAAAATAATTTTATATCAAAAAAATTGTAAAAAAAAAATTTTTTTTCCAAACTCTCACATAATTTCCGCGTGCGAGAGAACATTAAATTTTTTGAAAATACATAATTTTTCAATAACATTCACAATATTTGTGCAGCACACGCTCTCTCTATACTCATTCAACAAATATACTCTCGCCAAATGCTACCACGGTTAGAGTTAATTGGATGCAAATATTATTCTCATTCAGGTTCGCACTATAAGCATTGACCAGTATATACGTACATATAATGCTCCTGACAAAAACAATGGATCGATTTAGGGTGAATTATCAAGATTAATAATCCAGATCAATGTTCAATGTTGCCCTGAAAACAATGCAAGGAATTATCTTGTCCTATTATATTTATACTATATGTATATATATTGCAAAATTTACAATTTAAATGATTTATATTAATGATTGACAGAATAGAAAATTTTTGTCGAGAAAAGTAAATTATCCGTTGACAAATTGTTATCAAGGTTTATTAAAAAAAAAATAAATAAATAAAAAATGTCCACACTGGCAATAAATATCAATTGCAAATACTTTAGTAGTAATAATTATATAATTTACTGTTAAACTTGAAATGAAAAACAATTTCAGAATTATTTTCTTATTTTTATTCTTTATAATAATTGTTCCTTTATTCTTATTGTACTTTTTAACTCTTAATTTTTTACGTGCACGAAAATAAACAAAAAATATAAAAATAAAATAAAAATAGAAATAATAAACATAAGTAATAGCTAATATTAAAATTTGTCCTATATTTTTTTTACTATTAAAGGATTTAGAAAATAAAGAATACAATTGAAAAAAAAATCAAATAAAAAAAATATAGTTAATTTCCTATATGACTATTTTTTTCGTTAACAGAAATAGAAATAAATATTAACAAAATTAAGCTGAAGAAAAATATAAAGAATATTCTCTAGTTTGTACAAGTGACTTTACATTTTTTTTCGAGGCCAAAAATAAAAGCAAAGAAAAATAAAAAAGAATATTAAATAGTAGAAGTTACCTACTTTATATTTTTTCCATGTACAAAAATGAAATTAAAGAAAATAAGAACTACAATAATTGTAAAATAATTTTAAAAAAATAAAGAAATGAAAAAAATGAAAAATTAATAAAATTAAAAATTAAAATTAAAAAAAATAAAAACAGAAAAAAGAATAGATATTCTCTCAACTATTTTTTTCTCAACGCAGTAATATTGTGGTATTTTTTCTCACAAGGGTAGAAGTTGACTTTTCTAAATTCTGTTTAATAACAAAATAGAAATATGGGAATGAAAGTGTAAACGTTTTTCATGTATATATGACCGACACGAAATGAAACAGAGAGAGCCACGGACTAACGAAATATTCATCAGGGCAAATGAACCAAGTGATAAAACAAAACCAAGGAGTCTGCATCTGCATATATAGAGTATATTATTACAGACACACTCGCATTCATTTCCCGGTATTACCATTGCAAATAGAATAAGCAGGAGGGGCATAAATATTAATGAAGGTCTGTTTCCTCTCCAAGGTCTTCAACCTTACCTTAGCGTCTGGCTCCTTCCTTCGACTTATATCCCCGAAAGAGAAAAGGAGAAATCTTTTTAACACATTTTGTCCATTTACCGAATGAATCTTCATTTGTTGTTTTTTTTTTCTTTTCTTCTTATTCATTTTTTTTTCTGATGATTCGTTTTGTCACGTGGTTACGTGAAAGCGTGTAACGCGACCAATGATCGAGTGGACATTTGTTTTTAAGAAAAAAAAATTTCTTATCGAATCGCGTGCCTCTCTTTTAAATGAAAGTAGAAAAAAATCTTTACAAGGTCACACACTGCATCTCATCTTCTCGCATCTATACGGAGAAGATTGTTTCGTAAATCTCAGTTTCACAGGAAACGCGGAATTGTAATGTCGCGAATTTTGTTCTAATGTCGCATGAGAACATTGCGTATTTAACAAGATCGAGTGTTAATTTTATTTATTAATTTTAATATTTTATTTGTTTATCATTTTTAGTGAACTTTTGTTTTATTTTTTAGTTTCAGTTAATTTTATTTAATTATTAGTTTCAGTTAATTTTATTTATTCATTAGTTTCAGTTAATTTTATTTATTCATTAGTTTCAGTTCATTTTATTTATTTATTAGTTTCAGTTAATTTTATTTATTTTAGTTTCTGTTAATTTTATTAAAGTTTATGTGACACACAGAATGAAAATAATACACGTAAGTAATAAAATTAAAAAAATTTGGGCTGTACAAGCGAATCCGTTGAGTTTTTATAAATTCGGCCGCCATATTGGTTCCGCCATTTTGAATTTTCCGATTCTGACTTTAAATACACGTAATCATTGAGAAATAAATGTCTGTTTATTAATAATTTTTTATAATCAATTGTCACCTATATTTGTAATTGTAATAAATTTAATTTAATCTCTTATTTATAAATTATTAATTTATTACTATAAGTGCAGTATTAATAAAAGTTGATATTTTTATATAAAAATACTAATTTCTGGTTTCATTTAAAAAATTTGAAATTGTTATTTAATTAACAATAACAAATTGTTTAAACATAAAAAATTTATCTAAAGATTAATAAATTACATTACTAGTATAAAGCAATTATTGTGAGAAACTTAAATAATTCAAATCGTTTTTTATAAATTAAATATAATTTTATAAAAAATCATTACTGAGTGAAAATTATATAATATCCATTTTTCCTAATTTTATTTCAGTCGAATAATTAAATTCTGTATACATTTTTCGTTACTGAAATTGTATTTAAAATAATTTTTTTACAATGTATGTTTTTTTGAACTAAAACTTCACAAAAGTTTAAAATGCATATTTTTTTTCTATATAAATGTGGTAAAATTTAATTAAAAGAAAATTATTTATTTATCTCTTGGTTTTGAATGGAGAAAAATACAAAGCAGTATTTAGATAATGTTACAGAATATACCCCGGGGATATTTCATGTTCATCGTGCATATAATGATCTTGTTACACGCTGTATTCACCGCAACTATTAGTTTTGAAAATAATATTAATTTCGTGAACACGTTGAACACTTTGATTGAGGTTAAATTCAAAATTAAATCGTAAAAGAAAAAATATACTTTCAATTAAATTTTATCTCTCTTTTTTTTGAAATCGACTTTAATATTCATTCAATTTCCAAGTGGGAATTTTCGAAAAAAAATTATACTATATAATTGGGAGAATTTTTGAGAAATTACAAATGATTGCAGAAATCAATTATTTTGAAAAGTAATAAAATTCTTCACAAAAATCCAATTATGTTCAAAAATTTTTAAAAATTTAATTCTCTTTTAAATTTCAATTATCTTTAAAAATAATAAAATTCTTATCAAAAATTCAATTATTTTCAAAAAATTTTAATAAAAATCTTGGTAAAATTTCAATTATTTTCAAAAATTTTCCTCAATTCAATGATTTTTAATATCTATTATTTTAATAAAATTTTTCAAAAGAATTCAAGTTTTTAAAAAAATATTTAATAAAATTCTACGCAAACATTTAATTATTTTCATATAATAATAAAAATTTCACAGAAATTCAATTATTTACAAATTATATCTATAAATTTCTTCGCAATATAATTAAATTTTTTGGAAAATATAATTATTCTTAAAAATTTCATTAAACATTGTCGAAAGAATGCAATTATTTAAAAATATGATGATAAAATTCTTTATGAGAATTGAATTTTAAGAAACATTCAATTATTCAATAAATTATTTATTTTTGTATTTAATTTTAAATTTATTTAAATTTTAAATAATTGAATTCTAGTAGAATTTTCTAATAAAAATTAATTTAAAAGTGAATTTTAGTTAAAATTTTAGATAATAATAATTCAATATTAAAAGCAATATAGCGTGAATTTTTAGAAATAATTGAATTTTAAAATTAATTTCCCCAAATTATTTTCAAAAATTTTAATAAAATTCTTAGCAAAATTTCAATTATTTTCAACAATTTTCCTCAATTCAATGAGTTTAATAAAATTCTACAAAAACATTTAATTATTTTCATAAAAAAATTAAAATTTCACAAAAATTCAATTATTTACAAATTTTTTATATATTTCTTCGCAATATAATTCAATTATTTTTCGAAATAATAAAATTTTTACAGGGATTCAATTATTTTAATAAATAGTAACACTCATCTCAGAATTTCAATTATTTTTAATATAATTCTAACCGAATTCCTCAATAAAAGTAGGTAATTATTATATTATTAAAATAATATTATCATTAAAATTTGTCAAACAAATTCATTTATTTAAAAATTTGTTGACAAAATTCTTTACGAGAATTATTTTTTTGTATTTAAATAATTAAATTCTAGTAGAATTTTCTAATAAAAATTGATTAAAAAATGAATTTCAGTTAAAAACAAATGAATTTGAAAATTCTCAAAAAACTATTTTAAAAATTATTAAAAATAATGGATTTATAGAAAAATTTTAATTAACACTAAAATTAAAAAAATTAAATTAAAAACTTAATTTTGGAGAAGTTACAAATTAGTGCCGAAATTCAATTGTTTTCAAGAGTAATAAAATCCTTCGCAAAAATTTAATTATGTTCAAAAATAGCAAAATTCTTCTTAGGAATTCAATTATTTAAAAATATGTTGATAAAATTCTTTATAAGAATTTAATTTTAAGCAACATTTACACATTGAATAAATTACTTTTTTGTATTTAAATAATTGAATTCTAGTAGAATTTTCTAATAAAAATTGATTTAAATATGAATTTCAGTTAAAATTTTAGATCTTTTATGTGAATATTAAAAGCAACATAGCGTGGATTTTAAAAAATAATTGAATTTTGAAATCAATTTTTTTGAAAAAGTGTAATTTAATTTTTTTTTATATTATTTGAAGTTTTTATTTTTGACGAAGAACTTTTTCGAAAATTAATTGATTTAAAGGAAAATTTTATTGAAAAATTCTTAAAAATAATAATTAAATTGAAATGACGTAAATAATTTCGAAGAAGTACAATATTTTTATAATATAAAGTAATGATAATATTAATTTGCCATTTTTAATTATTATAAAACATGAAGAAATCGATCACTCCGAGTCGAAGATTTAATTTTAAGCAACATTTAAACATTCAATAAATTACTTTTTTGTATTTAAAATCCTTATTAATAAAATCAGATGTCTGTCTGTACATTGCTTAAAACTTCAAAATGTTAACATGATTAGTTATTATGGACATCAGAGATTCCAAAAATGTTCTTAAAAAATTTAATGTATGTATGTATGTATGTATGTATGTATGTATGTATGTTTGTCTGTCACAAAAACTTTGTACCCCAATCACACAAAAACATGTGAATCGATTTAAGTCCAACTTGGTAGGTTATTAGGTATTGACCCAAGGAAGGTTTATAAATTTACAGATTTAAAAAATATTAATTAGAACGGGAGATATTCAATTTTTTCAAAAAATTCAAAAAATCGAAAATTTCAAAATTTTTTATTTTTCATGGATTGCTTTTGAAGTTTATATACTTGAGTATTATATGTTATTTAGTCACATTTTAGCATAACTTTGCAAAAAATAAAGTCCTATAACTAATATGTAAGTATAAAAATGTTTTCAAAAAATCGAAAATTTCAAAATTTTACATTTTTTTATGGATTGCTTTTAAACTTTCTATATTTGAGTATTACATGTTATTTGGTCACATTTTAGCATAATTTTTCAAAAAATACTATTCTACAACTAAGATGTAAATATAAAAATATTTTCAAAAACTTGAAAAATGGAAAATTTCCAAATTTCACAATTTTTAATGGATAGCTTTTAAACTTTCTAAAAATGAATATTATATGTTATTTAGTCAGATTTTATGATAATTTTGCAAAAAATACTATCCTACAAGAAATATAAAAAAATTTTCAATATATCAAAAAATCGATACTAATTACTATATGAAGTATAATTCAGTAGTATTTTTGGAGTCTCTGATTAATATTTTGATGTCAAAATAGTGCAATTCAAAATTATTTATCAAATCAATCTAATATTTTCAAGAAGTTCAGAAATATTGAAAATGGAAATTTTTTATGATTAAAATGATTTCGCAGGATGTCAAGAATTGTAAGTCACCTGTGATACAATACAAGCATATTATGCCACTAGGCAAAAACTTACATGTTAAAACGTTTTTTCATTTTAACTCTAGATTTAACTTTAAGAGATGTTTTGAGCAATGTAAAGACAAAAGTTAACACGGTGTCTATTTTTGTTTAACAAAATTCCCTGCTTTGTCCAAACTTTTCACGGTTTATCTCTTTTTTGTCAAATTTAAATTTACTTGATTTTATCCATAAATAAATCTACAAATGGCTATAAAAATTTACTTATTTTATGAAAATACTGTTTCTTAAGTTCATATAAATATAGATTGTATTACTTGCTGTCGTACAGTTTTCTGTTTATACTAATACATTTAACTGGGTATCTACCAAACGGGAAAAACTGTAAAAAGCTGGGAATATGCCGAACCGGGAATTTTCCTATCAAATTAAGAAAAAGTTTCATTATATTAATTCGCTTTTAAAAAATTGCTTTTTACTTCAATTTTTATTGATGTATAATATTTATGAAAACAGACCCGAGTCAAAATTTAAGCCCTACTTTCAGCCTAAAATTTAGGTCTTATGTTAGGTTTTAGCAGTCGTAACGTAGGGTCTACTTGCGATACAATTAGTTCCAATTAGACTCTACTATAACTCCAAAAACTGTATGGAAAATTTAATTTTTTTAATACATTAATTAAAGTACTACAAATTGATAAATATTCTTCTCTGCATTTGAATTGGTTAAAATAACTAATTTGATAACAAAAAGTCAATCACTGATTCAAATAGTAATATTTTCCTACTAAAATAGCTATAATGGTAACTAATTATTATTTTTTCCCTTTTTTTACAGTGTATAAATGGGGAAATGGATTACTCCGAGTCGAAGACTCAGAGTGATCGATTTCTTCATGTTTTATAGTTATGAAAAAATATAATTTATACTTTTAACGTTTTAAGTAAAATGTTCTCTTATTTGACTCGGACTGGTTATATTTTTGTCAGTAATAATTGGTCCGTAATTTTTCATTTTTGGTCCGTAAAATCCGTATTTTTAAATACTTTCACTGGTTCGAGTTCTGTTA